AAACTTTCATAGTTCTACAGTCAATAATCGTCATACGGAATCTCAGTCATACACATCAATTCCATTTTAGATGAGCATTAATTTGGTATATAATACATTTTTATATCATCTGTAGTTTCAGCTCTACTCCCCTGGAAAAATATTATTTTCAACCGTGTACACAGATAAAAATTTCTTTGGTTTCGGTATTCCGATAAGATAGACTACCACACATATCCAGATAAATACCACAGGTATGTAATATTGTATGCTCTATCCGACTCTGAAGTCTTTTACGACGAAGAGCTAAACGTTTTTGAGGTATTTTTATTTTCAGAAAAGCTCAAAAATTTTAAGTTTTTGACTTGACAAAAACAAACTAGACTGTAGTTTGGTCTCATCAAAGCCAGTGCGAAAAACTGCATATTTTGACCAATTGTCTGAGTAAATCTTGATAACCGATGTATAGCAATTCTTCCGGATGCTCAAACATCAGTTTTTAGCTGTGCATACCTAATTTAGTGCAGCCACAAACTATATGCTCTTATTTTACTCAATGTGGGTTAACACCAAAGCACAGACAAGAAGTGTGAAATAGGAACATAAAAAGGGTATGAAATACTGATTTCAGATACTGTAAAAACATATTATAAACTTGCTGTAATTTAAATAAAAATTGTTTTGAAAAGTGATGACTTCTTTTTGCAAAATATTGTAATTTGGAAGACTAGAACGATTAATAGTTCAACTGCGGTTGTTGTCTTTTTATTTGTTTTTCTTTAATCAAACTTTGTCGTTTTTTCTCTGAGGCTTTGTGTAATCTATAAGCGGCTGTCAGACATGTCGTAATCGCTGCAAACAATGACCACGCAAGTAAAGCTCCAACATCCGCGTTAAAATTAGAATATGAATGAAATAATAAATGTCGGGCGCCATTAATAACATGATAGAACGGTAGACCGTAGCCGATCCTATAAAATCTTGGTTGTAATTCAACGCTTATTAGTAGATCAGCCGCACTCAACGATACACCGAAAAAAAGTGTTAGAACAAACGCTGCTCTAGGACCTAAATTAACAACTAATAGCGCTACAATGGGTGCAAACGTTAGAAAGAAGAGCCAATTAAACATCCAATAACGGACAAAATGACCGTAATTATCAAAACCATAAAACCATAAGACGATCAGTGCAAAAATCAGACTAATAATAAGACCCTGAAATGAAGCGTTTAGCAGGCGAGCAAAGATAACATCAAAAGTACGAATTTTTCCAGTTAATGATTGAGATAATCCAATCGCACCTCCTACAGCTATCACGGCTAGCAAATAAACATAAATATAGCCAATGGTAGTAGCCCCTGTACCAGCACTATGTTTAATTGGATGAAGATCATTTATAATATATTGAATGGGATTCGAAATTACTGCATATAAATTTAGAATAGATGATGAAACTCTTGATGATGACATTCCATTCAGCTGTTGAATTAAGTTTGTTTGAATGATTTGTGAATATTGTACATTAGCTCGTTGAACAGCGGCTACAATTGGTGGTTCAAGATATCGAAGAACTGTGACAGAACTACGACCACTTTCAAGTATGATTTCAACAGAAGGTGAACCAGTTACGACCGAAGTTGCTGCTGTATTGCTAAATACCGAGCTGATTATTGAACTGATCAGCTGAGTTGTATTAGCTTTGATGCTGACAGCTGCCCACGCCTTACCGCTTGTTACTTCATGTATCAGATTATCCATACTGTAACGTGATGGTGATGCAAAAATCCAATGTAAGGTTAGATTACCCGGTGGAGAGCGATGAAATGATTCTAAAAGCAACGTACCGGCTAGTTGTTGATCATAATCAACAATTAAAACACGTAAATTTTTGGTATAACGCGATGGATTATGACCACCACCAATAAATACGGCAGAAACAAGAAATATTAATAACCATATCAGAACAGTTAGGACTACAATTTTGGTTAGAAATGTTTTTCTGGCAGCATTTACATCCAAATGGGGCGATTTGGACCATAAATGGATAGGATCCACAACAGGAGCGGGATACCTTATGGTATTTAAATCAAATCTCGATTTTCCTCTTTGGTTAGATAACATTTTCTGAAGCACAGAATCATAATACCTAACCTTATAGAAGACACAAAATTCTTCTAATAGCAACTTATGGACGTGCTAAGACAGATTGTAAAAGCGAACGATGGGCAAGTTAGACGATTGTTGCTCTCTCCAAAGCTCCTCTCTTCATTCTCTAAAAGTTTTCTTATCTTTATTTTTTCTGAGACAGTGACCATTTCAACAGTAGCGGTACGTTTCCAGTATGATAGTGCGGCTCAAGAACAGCTGGATTTTCTTCACATTTTGATTTCCTAGATGAAAGTAATTTCGAGAAAAATCTGTTGATCTAGAAAGTGCAAAGACCAATCCTGTCAATGTACTAGTTTTCACAGAACCTTATCTTCTGTAGAAGTATTCTCATACCATTATCTAGACAAGCGCTCATTATTCCGTTTGCAAGTTTCATGAGATTACGCCGGTAAAACTTTTCAAAAATATTGAAAAGAAATATCCGTATGCAGTGAAGTCAAATCTGTGCTTATACTCTTGACACTTTCATACATATGAGAGAGCGTACAGTTGTCTGTAAGTGAACTGAATTACAAGAGAGCTTTTTTCAACGGTAGACAGTCTGATGTCTGAATTATGATCCACTTAATTACAACTTCTTAGATGAGATTGTTTGTATTTATAGTTAGACTTTTTCGAGCAAACGTTCAATTTCAAAATCAAATAAGGATCGGTAAACTTATATACCTTTACGACGACATATTCCAAAATAATTAAGGGATTAAAATTTCAGAAGAAAATTCAATACTTATAACCAAATCTCCTCACAGAAACTTCTGGCAATGTACTTTCCAATTTATCGACCTATGCATAAAAAATATAGTATAGTTTAAAATCGTCAAGTATTTTCAAACCGATTGAATACGAATTTTCCAGTTTTGCATATAAATAATCTAAAATAAGTTATTTCATTTAAGGAAATTTCCGCTAAATGTTTAAATTTCCTTCGGAAAACAATCATAGTCACGGAGCTCGAAGTAGAGGATAGCCTTTCTCATAATTTTTGGAGTTTCTACATCTGATTCCATGCCATTTGCGAAGCACCTAAGGAATCCGATTTCATGTTCAAATGGTAAAAAGGGAAGAGATCAAAGAATTTCTATGTTAAAAATGACACTCAGAGCATTTCCTCCTGTGACAAAACCATATGTTTCTACTTTATTTTTTCGAGTTGGAGAGTAGTTTCTATAAATCTTCTGGAAAAACTGCATCTTCGATAAAGATTTTCAGTTTTTTCCTCTTAGAAGATGCGCTTAAGGGGGGAGCCCCCCATTTAGATTTTCTTCAAGGTTACCCAGTTTGTAGAGGACACTTTGAAGTGTATGTTCTGAAGTTTGTTCAGCTTACTGGCATTATTTGACTCAGAAAAAGATTAATTACTTAAAAAATGTTGTAAAATTTTTGAGCACAGGGCTACTATTGAAACATTTCCTGACCGTTTCTCTTTCATCATTAAAATTTAGTTCTCATCTAGATCGATAGAGAAATGTGCGGAGAATATTTACTATGGGAAAGGAAGAAAAGCATCTTACCTTTTTCCTTTCCGTTCATAACTAATTAGTGCTAATTAACGTTTTTTTAGTCTTCTCCACTAGCTTAAAGTACCATTTAAAATATAACGGCATAACAAAAAAATTCAAACAATACTTCATCTGATAGAGAATTTCTCAAGCTACAATCTGATATATATAATAGGGGTAGGGCAGTTCCAGTTCAATTCTTTTGAACGGGAACTGGTACCAGTTCTTTTCAAAAATTAACGTATTGACTTTGTCTAGTGCGGCAGAAGTAGATGGTGCGTTTAGTTGACTAAACCAAGTCAATATAACCAGCTATATCGATTTTATTTCACTTTGAATTCTTGAGTACAACTGGTAATCAATTCCCGTTCAACAGGTACTGAACTGGTGACCAGTTCTTAAGAACTATAGGAATCGGAACTGTTCAACTCCTAATATATAATATAGAGAAAAAAGTGTCTTAGGATACCGTGACAACCGAAATGTTTCTACGAAGCCAGACTTCTGCTTCTAATTCTCAATTTTCTTCATCAGAAATCAACTTTCATGCAATAAAAATATCATATTCGGAATCAAGATCAAAAACTAGGTGAACCAATGTGTATTTTCATGTACGAATTTTCACTTTGAAAAATTATCAAGATTTTCATCAAAGAACGAAAATCAAGGAAAAATTTCGAAATACACATTGGTTGACCCAGTTTTGATTTTGATTCCGAATATGATATTTTTATTACATAAAAGTTGAATTCTGATGAAGAAAATTGAGAATTAATAGCAGAATTTTGGCTTCGCAAAAACATTTCTATCGTCAAGGTAACCTAAGACACTATTTCTCTATATTATATATGTCAGATTGTAGCTTGAGAAATTCTCTATCAGATGAGGTATTGTTTGAATTTTTTTGTTATGCCGTTATATTTTAAATGGTACTTTAAGCTAGTGGAGAAGACTAAAAAAACGTTAATTAGCACTAATTAGTTATGAACGGAAAGGAAAAAGGTAAAATGCTTTTCTTCCTTTCCCATAGTAAATATTCTCCGCACATTTCTCTATCGATCTAGATGAGAACTAAATTTTAATGATGAAAGAGAAACGGTCAGGAAATGTTTCAATAGTAGCCCTGTGCTCAAAAATTTTACAACATTTTTTAAGGAATTAATCTTTTTCTGAGTCAAATAATGCCAGTAAGCTGAACAAACTTCAGAACATACACTTCAAAGTGTCTACAAACTGGAAAATCTTAAAGAAAATCTAAATCCTGTTACCAACAGTTGATTTGGTTTTCTTGAAAACAAGTAAGCACTTTTTAATGATATTTTAGAGTTGAGTTTATTCGAATCTGGAAATAAAATCTTAGATTTTCTGAAAAAGTTTCGGTACGACTCGTCTGTTGCTTTTTGGCCTTATTTGCTTGTGTAGCCGTTCTGGTTAGACACCGTAGCTGATCGAAAAGATTCGTGGACAGCTGCTTGCAGTAATTTATGCTACTGCGTAAAATCTCAGCAGTTACAATTTATCAGTAGATAAATAAATTGCGCCGTTTCCAGAATAAATGGCTTACTCACACTTTTTTCGAAATAAATGGCTCCCTACCGTGCAGGAAAAAATGTCTCGTGGTAGGGAATTTCTAGTATAAATGGCTGTTTTGTAGAATAAATGGCCTTTTTTCCTGGCATAAATGTCTAAGCCATTTATTGCTTCCTATAATAAATGGCTGTATGTGCGACGGGAGAACCTTAGCGGTGGAGTCCGTTCCCTAGACAAAAAAAATTTGTGGAATCTTATAAGAATCTTACTCAATTTTTATATGAGATGTTCCACGAAAGTGACAAGAATTCTGCTGAATCTTATAAGAATGTTTTAAGAAACACAAGAATTCATAAGAAATCGGTAAGAGCCAGCAAAACTCGTACGTTATTCTTTTCAGATTCTTATACGATTCTTATAAGATTCTCGTAAGATTCTTATGAGAAACATGATCGAATGTCCTACAGAAAAATCCCAATATAGTGCTGAAAAAAGTCCGGCACTACCAGTGTGGACGGCATGCTATGTTGCACCGGTATGTACTAGTTCCACATTTTTTCAGTCATCGTTTGTTATCTACGATTGCACTATGTTTTACTCGCACTTTTCTTCGAGAACATAGTGCAGTCAAAGTTTAATGCGAGCAGATAATGCTTTGATATTGTTATAATCTTTATCGGAAAAGGAAAAATCAGTATAAATAGTGAGTCAGGTAGTAAATTCAGAGGATGTACACAGTAAATTCAGCTCTCTGTTCTCTTATCTAAATAGGTGAAAATAGGTCTCATTTTCTAGTCTAAGAAAGTACCTTATATAACAGACACTGTTTTACGTCTCGTTTAAAATGAGAAAAAAACTTTCGTATCGTCAATCATACACGTGGAGAGAGTATATGTATACGTTTATATCACGTGGAGCAATCTATCTTTTTCTAACAATTTGAAGAAAAGACGCTTGCTGTAGACGTATATATGAGGGATTCTGGTGATGTTTGTACCGTTTTTAAAGAAAAAAATGACCCAGAATGAAAGTGTCCAAGAAAATATTTTAACACTGTAGATTTGTAGAGGGTACTTGGAAGTCTAGAAAAAACTCTGTTTCCAAACTGCCAAGTCCTTCTCAGCCCAGTTTGTACTTCCGTTAATAACTAATTAGTGCTAATTAACGTTTTTTTAGTCTTCTCCACTAGCTTAAAGTACCATTTAAAAAATAACGGCATAACAAAAAAATTCAAACAATACCTCATCTGATAGAGAATTTCTCAAGCTACAATCTGATATATATAATAGGGGTAGGGCAGTTCAAAACAAAGGTAAAAAAACGAGTTCTCAATTCCATGTAGTTCGGTCAGGGGAGAGTCAAAAGGGGGTGCGACAAATTGTATGTCACAAGCTACTGGACGTCAGTAAAATGTCAATTACTCAAAAACGAAAAAAGCTAGCAACTTGCGGTTTTCAACAATCTATAGTGCCTACTTTGGTAAATCCTTTCATAGAAAAATATTTGACTTAAAGTGCTTATTGGCTG